CAGAGGTTGTTGGAGAATGGGCTTTTTGTCAAAGCGGAGAAATGCATTTTTCATGCAGTCTGTTCCTTTTTTGGGATACATCGTCTCGGCCGAGGGGGTGCGCATGGATTCCGACAAGGTTCAGGCTGTGGTGAATTGGCCAACCCCAGATTCCCACAAGGCCCTGCAGAGGTTTCTGGGCTTTGCCAATTTCTACCGGCGGTTTATTCGCAATTTCAGCCAGCTAGCTGCATCTTTGACGGCCTTAACCTCCACCAAGACTGCATTCAGGTGGTCTAGCGCAGCAGAAGCTGCATTTTCCAAACTGAGAGGCTGCTTCGTTTCAGCTCCCATCCTCATAGCCCCTGATCCTTCCAGGCAGTTTGTGGTGGAGGTTGACGCGTCAGAGGTGGGGGTTGGTGGGGTACTATCCCAGCGTTCCCCCACGGACGGCAAGGTGCACCCCTCGCGGTTCTATCCCAGCGTTCCCTAGCGGACGGCAAGGTGCATCCTTGCGCGTATTTTTCTCATCGTTTGTCTCCCACCGAGCGTAATTATGACATTGGTAACAGAGAGTTGTTGGCAGTCAAGCTGGCTTTGGAAGAATGGCGTCATTGGTTGGAGGGTTCGGAGGAACCTTTTATAGTCTGGACCGACCATAAGAACCTGGAGTACATCAGGTCTGCTAAAAGGTTAAGTTCTAGGCAGGCTTGGTGGGCCTTATTTTTCGGTCGCTTTAATTTTTCAATTTCTTATCGTCCAGGTTCGAAGAACATTAAACCTGATGCTTTGTCCCGCATTTTTGACAGATCGGAACGGCCGTTGTCTCCCGAATCCATCCTGCCACAGAACATCGTGGTGTCGGCTATGACTTGGGAGATCGAATCGAAGGTCCGTAGGGCCTTGCAAGGGGTAACGCCTCCGCCCGGGTGCCCATCGAGTTGTTTATTTGTGCCAGAGGGATTACGGTCCGACGTCATCCGTTGGGGTCATTCTTCCAAGGTAGCCTGTCATCCGGGGGTTAGTCGAACACTTTTTCTCGTTAAACAACGGTTCTGGTGGCAATCTATGGCCCGTGACATACGACATTTTGTTTTGGCCTGCTCTGTCTGTGCCTCTTCTAAGGTTTCCAATCGACCCCCAGCTGGACTTCTTCAACCGCTGGCTGTTCCTTCGAGACCCTGGTCACCAGGTCGCTTGTTTGTGCCAGAGTGTTTAAGGTCCGAAGTTATACGATGGGGTCATTGTTCCAAGGTAGCCTGTCATCCTGGGGTAGTTCGTACCAAGTTTCTAGTTAGACAACGGTTCTGGTGGCCAGCTATGGCTCGCGACATTAGTCTTTTTGTTTTGGCTTGCTCGGTCTGTGCTGTTTCTAAGTCTTCGAATCGACCCCCCTGCTGGACTCCTTCAGCCGTTGTTAGTTCCTTCGAGACCCTGGTCCCACATTTCGTTAGATTTTGTTTCGGGTCTCCCACCCTCACAGGGACACACGGTGGTTTTGACTGTGGTGGACCGGTTCTCAAAGGCAACTCATTTAATTCCTCTGCCTAAATTACCATCTGCCAGAGAAACAGTGGTTGCTGTGATCGACCACGTTCTTCGCATACATGGCCTCCCGATGGACGTGGTCTCTGACAGGGGTCCTCAGTTTATATCCAAATTTTGGAGAGAGTTTTGTAGATTGTTGGGGGAGACGGTTAGTCTTTCTTCTGGGTTTCATCCCCAGAGTAATGGTCAGACAGAGAGGACCAACCAAGATTTAGAACGAGTGTTGCGATGTTTGGCTTCTCAGAACCCCTCCTCGTGGAGCCAGCAACTCTCATGGGTTGAGTACGCACATAACTCGTTACCAGTCTCAGCTACGGGTCTATCTCCGTTTGAGTGTAGCTTAGGGTACCAGCCACCACTTTTTCCCAGTATGGAATCCGAGGTCGCGGTTCCCTCTGCCCACGCATTCGTCCAGAGGTGCCGACGCACCTGGAGCAAGGCCAGGTTGACCCTCCTCCAGGTGGGGGCGCGCACCAAGGTTCAGGCCGATCGCCACCGGTCGAGAGGTGCGACGCACCTGGAGCAAGGCCAGGTTGACCCTCCTCCAGGTGGGGGCGCGCACCAAGGTTCAGGCCGATTGCCACCGGTCGAAGCCTCCCATTTACGTCGTCGGTCAAAAAGTGTGGCTCTCAACCAAGAATATTCCTCTCCGATCCGTCAGTAGTAAACTTGCTCCCAAATTCATTGGCCCGTTTACTGTCACCAAGATTATTAGTCCGGTGGCAGTCCGCCTCAAACTCCCTCCAGCGTACAGGAGAATTCATCCGGCGTTTCATGTATCCAAAATTAAGCCTGTTTTTCATTCAGCCATTAATCCGCCGGCTCGAATCCTTTTTTTCATTCAGCCATAAATCCGCCGGTCCCGGTTCCTCCCCCTTCGCGTCTCGTAGACGGGGAACCAGCCTATTCGGTAAAACGTATTC